CACATTAAGACAAATATTATGGTTACTTTTACCGTCATAATAACATTTGTCCCTGACTGCAGCCTTTCTCTGCTTTAACTAACCTTGCATTTAACACCCTGAGGAAGACATCCTGGCTACACTAACATCTTCTAATACAACAGATCTCTAATCATTATCTATCTAACTAAGAAATTACCTAACACCGTCATAATAACATTTATCTCTGACTGCAGCCTTTCTCTGCTTTAACTAACCTTGGCCTAGCTTCAGTCTTGCAGAACTCATCAGAATAAACTGAGCATTTAACAGCCTGAGGAAGACATCCTGGCTACACTAACATCTTCTAATACAACAGATCTCTGAATATCTATCTAACTAAGAAATAACCTAACAGAAGACAGAGACACAGCAGAGCTTGTTTGACTGTGAGGTAGATTACTAGGCTAGTGTTTGCCAATTAGCCCTGTAACTTAGCCTAATGTTGTTGGCTATGTAGGAGCATGGCTACCTTTTGTGTGACTGTTATGAATTGTATACACTTGATAAGGACTGAGATATTTAAACAGCCTGTTAGGTTACTCTCCAGACAGGCAGATAGAAAGAGCTATTGCACAGTATAGTTAGCTCCATATTTAGCTCTGTTGTCTGCTGGTTATCATCCCCATAATTAGCCTAGTTAGTCTATTTTTAACCACTCATTTAGTTTCCCCAAACCCCTACCCCATTTCCCAAGATGGCTTTGGAAAACAAAATAGAGAAGGTGCATGCTGAGTGGTACTGCTCCACACACAGCATAAACCCTCACACATTTATTGCTGGGTTTATGAAAACCATAAACCAAAATTACATTTATGTGTTCATAATTAGGCTATTATAATAGTTTATGCTTTGAAATGTTTTTTAAATCATCTATTATGTAAGTTTGCTATATGTTAACACTTTAATATCCTAAAATTAGTAATGTAATAAAAACTAAATGGATTGTTATGCCTATTGCCACATACATTTCCAAATATGGGTTAGAAATGGAACACAGTTGTAGCCTGTAGTTTACTGGAAGTCAGTGGGTTTGATCCACCTGTTCTTAGGTATGTTTTTAATTTCTGAGTTGGTACACTAAATAAATAAAATGCTGTAAAGAAGTTTTCACACTTGGCTGAAAAGTTGGTGTAATGATAAAATGTAAACCGACTTAGAGAATAAATCGTGACACACCTGAAGCATACTGAAAAAACCTTAGAAAAAATCAACTGGACAATCATCAGAACTTTAAATCACAGGGCAGAGGAAGTGCCCACAACTGCAGAAGGGGCCAAGAAGGAAAAATTACACATCCAGAACTCCCTTAAGGCTTGTGGATACCCTAAGTGGGCCTTCACCAAAGCAAGGAAGAGGTCCAACACCAACAGTTAGAAACCAGAAACAAGAAGGGATAACACTGTCATCCCTTATGTGGCTGGTTTATCAGAGAAGTTAAAAAGGATATTCCGCAACCACAATATCAGAGAAGTTAAAAAGGATATTTTGCAACCACAATATCCCAGTCAACTTTAAGCCAGGGAACACCCTGTGGCAAAGACTGGTCCACCCGAAAGACAAAACACCCAGACATAAATGGAGTGATGTGGTGTATGCAATTAAGTGTAGTCAGGAGTGTAATGACTTGTACATTGGTGAAACTAAGCAGCCGCTTCACAAACACATGGCCCAACACAGGAGGGCCAACTCCAGTGGACCAGAGTCAGCAGTCCACCTCCACCTGAAGGACAAAGGACATTCTTTTGAGGACAGTGAAGTCCAGATCCTCTCCAGAGAACATCGCTGGTTTGAGAGAGGAGTTAAGGAAGCTATTTTTGTAAAAATAAAACACCCCTCACTAAATAGGGGTGGTGGACTAAGACACAACTTGTCTTACATCTACAATCCTGTTTTGAGATCTCTGCCCAAACATGCCCACCAGGACAATAGGTGTCAGTTGACAGGGGAGGGTTCAAAGACAGGTAGCGACTCTCACCGATACTGGGCTGTAACGACTCAGTTGTTAAGGGACATTGTTGGCCTTCTAAGGACTGAAACCACACCGAGGGGGATAAATATCTTTGACTCAACACCAGTCAGTCAGAACTGATGAAGCCTCTTGGATGAGAGGTGAAACGTCTTTGATCTAGAAATCTAGTCCAGTTGATTTTTTCTAAGGTTTTTTCAGTTTACTATGACTTGGATGACTGAGAATCTGCACAGACACCTGAAGCATATGACTTAAACATCCACTGAATTGTTCCCTCCATTGTAGATGTGAGAAACAGCAGTTCTCTGTGGGGTGATGAGGACACTGCAGTGTTTCTCAAATTAATACATGAAACACACAAATGTTATATTTATATAATGCTTTCTACATTGTTTTCATTGTTTGAGGTTTGACTGGATCTCCTTTAATTACATCATTTATTTTTTCTTCTGTGGCGCCACGAGCTGTTTATCAACTCCTGATATTCACATACAGTAACAGCAGTGGACAGAAACAAGCATTAATTAGCGTTTTCTTTCCAATTTTCTCAAACTTCATTTGTGATATTTGTGAATGGAAACCTCCCTAATGAGTCCATAGAAACATAGTGTACTTTCTGTTGATATACCACAATGCAGACCTGTCCAGTCACAACTGTTCTTATTCCTGGTACACACACTCTCTTCTATCTATATTTACAGATATTATTGAAACACAGCTCTATATGATGCATTGGCTAGTGTTGCTTTGTTTTTTTTTTAGATAAATTATTATATTAATTAAAAGTTTCCAGATTTCTTATGATAAATGACGTAAGTATTGTTTCAAGTATATTATTATTATAATAGCCTGTTAGTTGACTTGGGGTCATCTTTGGAGCACTGCACTACTCTCTCAAAGATAATGTGAGGTTACACCTCTGTTAAAGAGAAATTTTACATGCTTTATATGAAAATGAGGCCAAAGAAAAGCAAACTGATGATTACACAAACACACACACACACACTTATTTAAACAGTTCTCTGTGCATGTCTTACTGTATATGCACAGCTGTTTTTAGGTTGTTAAAACACCTGGGAACGGAAGAGGATAAACATAATACTGAGAACAACAGGGAATTTGTTGGCATTTAAAGTAGCTTTTTACTAGATAAGGAAACATATTAAACTATGAAAATTCTGCTAATTTGATCAGCCAATGAACTTAACTAATGAAGAGTATACTAGATTCATTTGCATATCTACTATAGCATGAAAACAAGTGTTATGTCATGTGTTTTACTTTACCTGTGTGGCACTTGTCTTGGTTTTTCTATGAACACATACTGTATGGCTTCATCAGAGCAAAGGCTCCCTGTTCTTCACAGTGTCTATAATATGATTAGCATCTTATTGTGACACCAAAATGTTCAAAATTCCATAACCTTATAGCTTGCATTCAGCAGATATAAAAACTCAGCCTTTTATTTTTATACTACAAACTCACTGATTCTGCCTCAGCTTTCTGCACCACAGCTAAATAGATGCAATGCTGACATGCTTCCTGTATGCTTTTGTCATTCAGGAAGTATAAATGGGGATTAAGCTGACATCTGATAAATTATTCATAACAATTTTGTCATACAAACAAGTCTGATGAGACTACAACAAATTAAAGCACTGATATGCTATCCATACACTTTTAGTTGATCAACCTCAAATCTTAAAATAGATATGTGTCCTTATACTTTGAAATGGAGATGACAAAGAGATAGATTAAACAAAAAAAAAGGAAAAAGCATATTTATTCAGGAAAAGTGTTGATACATCCAGAAGTATTCACTAACACATAAAGCCATCAGCTAAATCCTCAGATGATGGTCCCTAGGTTTGAGTAGTGTCTCTGTGTGAATGTTAACACACCAACCATTATTTTTATGTGCTCGTAAAGGTAGTCACATTACAATGCTTCTAGCTACCGTATGAAAGACTTACTATATGTGGATATTAATATTTATTTATTTAAGAACAAGGTAATTGAGCAATTTGTAAAATACATAAATGGGATAAAAGCTGTAAATTGTCATTGTCTCCTCCGTCTTTCTCTCCTCTGCTCTCTCTATCATGTGGGCTCTGCACCTCAGCTGTGTTGCATTCCAGTAATTAGCAACTGGTTTGTCGATGCACACAGCTGGGGTGCATCCC